GGCTCGCAAACTCTCGCTCCAACAGGTCCAGGCGGCCCGCAAGACGAGCGAGCTCGCCCTGATTCCCGGCCTGGGCGGCAGCATCACCGCCAGTCCCAAGGCCAAGTGCAATCTCAAGCACGAGAACACGTTGACGGAGGCGGTCAACCTCAGGGCCCTGTGTCGGACCCGCAGTCGGAGCACTCGGACGAGAGTGGCTTTCGGGAGGCGCCGAGTACTCGTACTCGTACGAGGGCACCTCCGCCCCCGCTTGACCGGAATAAAGAGGTCCACTTCCACGTGGAGCGGATACTCCAGGAGCAACGGCGTCGCGGTAAGCGACAGCTCCTCGTGAAGTGGAGGGGTTATGCCCACTCCGAGAACTCGTGGGAGCCGATTGAACGGCTCCTGATCGACTGCTCGAAGGCTGTCGCCATCTGGGAACAGAGGCGGCGGCAGCTTCATAAGTAGTCCGGGGCTTCTTGCCCGAACGGGGTACGGACGATAAATACATATTCCGTACCCGCGCTCATCGTGAGCGCTAGAAGCCGCGCGCTTCAGGATGGCAGCATGCACTTGCTGATCAAGTGGGCAAACCTCACACGAAGATCACGCTGGTCCAGGATGCGGGACAGCAGCTGATCTTCATGGAGTTCCCGTAACTCCGTGGGTGAGTACTTAAGAGTCCCCACCCATGCCCAGAGCATGTCCTCACAAAAACTCCACGTGGGACAGTTCTCGGGCATAACCCAGGGGTATCCCCAAAGCGGATAGAGACCACCCCGGGTCTCGGGCTTCTTACGACAAGTCGTGAAGTCCTTAAGGGGAATGCGGTGTGGCGCGAGAAGCACACACCGAGCAGCCTTCAAGTTGTCAACGAACAACTGTTCTTTCTGAACAAGGGCTCGTTCATAGATGCCCCTAGAAGTGTGGCCGCCCACAAGGCCACGAGGAGCGACGAGAATCTCTAAGAAGAGGTCAGCCCCAGAGCTCTCCTCGGGAGGCCAATACCCTCTTGAGTTGATGGCAGCTCCCTGTCTGACGGGTGCCACCACCAAACCCCACGCACACGCTGGACAGCTTGAAAATCCTCCTGCTGCTGGTCGAGGTCATTCGAGACCTCCCGGGGCTCAACGATAGCACTCTCCTCCTCCTCCTCCTCCTCCTCCTCCTCTTCCTCCTTCTCCTCCTTTTCATCCGAGGAGTCGAAGATACTCTGATAGGAGTGTCGAGTCTCCTTCTCCTCGCGGAGTGGAGACTTAGAGGCTGTACGCTTCTTTGAGGGTTTGGCGCCTTCGGCTTTAGAGGCCTTAGCACGCGCAAGACCCTCGGCAAGCGAGAGACGTTTGCGAGGATTCTCTTCCTCATCGCCACCGGCTTTGGGAGCACCCTTAGCCTTGACGGTCGGACTCTCGGAGAGCACAGACGTTCTGGGACTGTGATCACCTTGATCACTAGCGAGCGACTGCACGCTGTCATCTTTGTGCTCACTGGGCACTGGGCTGTGCCCTCCCACAGATCCCGCAGGAGCATCGTGCGTGCTCTCGGACTCGGCATCGTCCTCACTGCCCGAGTTGAACTCACGTTCCACGAACCGAGGGTTCGGACGATTGTCTGAAGACGAGGGCGACGGACTGCGGCGCTTGCTTGCTCGCTTGTCCACAGCCGCGTCACCCGAGGAACCGATCGCCTCGGAGGCCACCTGAGTAGCCTCCTTGAGTGCCGAGCCTTTGCCGTGAGGCTTAGTGCTCTTGGCTTGCGCCTTACCGGCAGCAGCCTTGGAGCGTGTCTTAGAACCGCTCTTTGCAGTGCCACGAGGCATGGTACCGGTCGAATTGGAGACCTAGACGAAAAGCGCACAAGTTGCTGCTCGAGGCTCTAACTGTGAAGTGAGCCTCCGCCGCGCTCGCGCGGCCGAGTCGATGGTTTTCGACTTTGAGAATGAGAGTTTGTGACGAACACCTCTTCATTCTGATTGGTCGGAAATCCGAACCTAAGTGGGGGAGGATGTAACGGGGTACGTATCCCTAAGTGTACCCTGGTTACATGAAGTGTGACACTTCACACTTCAGGTGTCACGTCATACTCCGGGATATTTGGTACAGGGTACCAAGGTCGTTCAAAAAGCCAACCATTGGTCAAACGACATTGCATTTCTATAGGTAGCTTATAGTTTGTATTAAACCCAAGCTTAACCTACCTATAAATATACTCAGCTTACAATCTACCTTATTTAGGTCACTTCGCTCTCTTTTAAATAAAGAGGGGACCTGTGAACTGCCGTTCACTGAGAGTTTGTATCCTCTCGGAAGATAACTTCCTCTAGCGCAAGGTGCTGTGTGACCCCGTCACACGACAGCATCCCGACTGTCACCTCTAAAATGGCGATGGAAATAACGGTGCCATACGATGGCGACAGAAACGACGATCCGGGAGCCATGATTCGTATTGCGGAGTTACGGAGGTCAATAGAAGACGTGCTTTCGATGCAGTAAGAAGAAAATTGTCTATTTCTAACCTGAGTTAAACCGGCTATGTCTGAGGCCCTATTGCGGCAGAGGCCCCAACTGGTGGCATCGCACATGACGATTACCTCAGGAACTTGTGGGTTACAAGTTGCGACATCGCTCGCCCTCGTGACCCAAAAAGCCCATCTTTAGACGCTGCCAACAGATGTTCAATATCAGCAGAAAGCTTGCCACCGAGTTCCGTTTCAACTTTATTTCTTCCATACACCGGCGTGATGTCGCTGCCGCAACTTAAATCCATGACTTTGGCAGCACCGAAAATCTCCTTTTCCGCTGACTTTGACCTCGAAACCTGACTCGGAACCCGTTTCCAAACCACGACCTCAAAATGAAGACGTTTACTTTAAAATCTCGCTAAAACAAGTACACACATATACATTAGACAACCTCATGCTGGAAAAGAAGCGGCATTTCCGCATGATTTAGTCACTCACACCGATAGTTTATCTCCGGTACCTTGAGGAACCCCATGCGAAGGCTTCCGATCGGCTTGTTTTGGAGCAACTTTGATATATATCAAAGATTTTAAACTGCATATTATCGTCTCATCCCAGAGTTGGTGATATGACATGCCTCCCCAGTAGAAAAAAACCTTTTACTAGTGTGAGTCTACATGTAAGAACGGTCACAGGAGTTGGCAAAGAAATTTTTAACGATTAGATTTCCCTTAACCACAATTTCAACAAGGGGGTGGTGAGAATTTTGACGTTGCGGCTTGTCGCTTGTTGAAGCTAACATTTGCAAAAAAACTCCGTCTGAAACGTTGACTCCACTTCGTCCGGTTAGTTTGCACTAATTTCGCTTAGAGTGGCTTCTACTGTAGCTCCAGCGCAATCGAATTGCTCGGGGTAAATGCAGGATACCTTGAATACGTAAGCAGCCACACATAGATAAGAAACGCCACGGTTTGTCCACGTATCTTAAGTAGCCACTGACGTAATGCTTGTGTGGTCTTCCTGCTGCCCACGGGTGCCTTTTCGCTTTAAGCTGCATCATTTTGCTCTACTTTACTGGGTCCAGCACTTTCGTAGGCCAAGCAACGTCGCTCTTAGATACTCCTTCACACGAGAGACATTTTTTTAGATCTTCTGGATTATTTCGCTAAACAAGCCTCCTTTTATTACTAAGGTATCACGCTGTCCGACTGTTGGGCATGGCAAATACAATTTGCACTTGTATTGTATGTGGTAACCTCTCAGTAATATGTATGGCAATACGAGACCGGACAATAGTTGTTATTGCAAACACTGAAAAGCATTGAACTCGAGAGCTGTACCTGCATCACATATCCTTCATCTGCGCCGGAACAGCCAAGAAGAGCTGCGCTATTCCACATATCATCGTATGCGTGTAAAAAATTATGCGCTCAAAGTTAGCCGGCAGAGTTGACGACCGCAGCGAGCTCAGCTCCAGCTTGCACTCAGAGAAGAGACGCTCAGGTTCAGCTGGATAATCTACCTCATCCACAAGTAGATGTTCAGCGTCGCATCGTCCACAAATCCGAACGTGTCAATCGTTGGTAGATGCGGCCTGAAGCTCGGCATACCCCTCCACGTAGCCGGCGTGTTTGGTGCCAAGGTGACCAAGAAGGTTTATGTAGCCCGTACCGCGCTTTGTTTACAGCTACACCCGCACTTCTTGCATTCAAATAGACTTTCGCCAAGGTCCACGTAGAAAAGCTTACAGAGCTGGCGCGACGTCATGATGTGGTGGTGATGGGGTTGTCTGGTGCTTGGTGAGGGAATTTGAGAATAAAGCTTCGTACTGAAGCTGAGGAGCACAATATTGACTAAAGGCCGATGTGGAATGGCTAGAGTGTGACAGACAGCGTTCAAACGGTTGGACACGGTACAATACAATTGTATTATACAGCATTTTGTATTATATTGAAATGTGATAGTAGCAATAATATTTTATTCCGTCAATATAATATCAATAGTATTGATATTATATTATTTTTCCCATGCCCTCGGACTCTTGGGGTATCGGCTATACTAAAGCTAGTATAATTGTTGCGCTGCAGGTAAAGCGCGCCGCGGTTCCAGTAGAAAAAGACAGCATCATTGGTGAATCCTGTGTTGAGCAAGGCATGGAGATGGATTTGGCAACATCGGATGACGGCGCACACGAGGTGGCCGGTCTGTCACCGAATTTGTTGTTACGGTACTGCACCTTGAATACCCGCCCCTGGCATTGGGTGCTAGGACAGAGAGTAACACGGCCTGCCGATCGCGGCGAAATGGGTGATGCTCTTACTCGTCCCATAACCGCTGTACCCATAAACATTAGGAAAGGTACACCATTCCGAGGGTTTCACGAGCATTTATTATTCCAGGCATTTTTTTTAATGTTTGTGTTTGCCCGTGGTTGCTTTGGCCCAAGCCAGTTTTTTAAGTTTCTCATCACTGACGGTAGTTAACTCGCCGCAGAAATGCACGCTGACAGAAGCTGTTGTTCACGTTAACACTACACTACATCAATACATCATTTGTTCTACTTTTGGGGAGTCACCGTGCCGGCTGTACTGGCTCCTTGAAGAGTACTGAAATCGATGCCGGTGGTTGAGCCTGTGTACTGTTCGTCAGATTCAGCACCCTCGGCGATGTCAAGAGAGCCGCAGTCCGACTCCTCAGCGATATCAAGCGACCCACACTCGGAGTCTTCGGCAATGTCGAGCGACCCGCACTCTGAGTCGACCGTGTCTGCATCTCCGGCCACTTCATTAGGCTCTGTAGTAGAAGTGTCTGTGTCATCCCCAGCAACATCGAGCGAGCCACAACTAGACTCGTCCGATCCAGCGACATCAAGAGAGCCACAGTCCGATTCACCCGACCCGGCGATGTCCAGAGAGCCACATTCGGAGCCCTCTGCTTCGTCTGCATAGGACGAGTCGGTAGGAGCCGTGGTACTGACTGGGGCCAACGTTGTAGTAGTAGTGTCGACCGTGGTGCTGTTTACCGACCCCGTTAGTGGGACACAGTTAATGAAGACCTGCCACGGCAGACCGTGGAGAGCGATCCAGTAGGCTGTGAGTCGGGAGGCGCCCGAACACTTGTAAACGTCGAAGGGCCATTTAGAGGGAGTCTCTGGGTAGTTAACGGCGCAGTTGTCGTCCCCAAAGGCCAACACGTCGTCGCACCAGACCTCACACGGCCCATCGTGGCCCTCAGTGAGCTGATTCCACTCGACATACTCGGATGGCAAGTCACGGGCCGTTCCGTTGGCGAGTGAGAAGCCGCACTCTAAGGTGGCCATGCCGAAAGGTGACAGAGTCTCCACCTTAGCCGTCTTGTCCACCAGGTCCTTGAGAGACGTGTACGTGCTCTTATTGAAGGCTGTCCAGTGTTGAGCTCTGGAGCCGTCGAGTAGGACATGCCATCTGGGACGGGCAGATACGTCTGGCCAGCGGTGGTGGCGGCAAAGTTATTAGTGGCCCAAGACACAGGCCACGTCGGCATCGGCTCGATCATGTAGCTGTGTGCATCCGCGTGCAATGCCAGAGAGGCCGCGAGTATTAACGCAGCGTATGTGAAGGAAGCCATCGTCTCTGGGTCAGTAAAAAGCGAGAAATGGAGCGGATTCGAGCCATGGGAGCGCTCAGTTTCCCTGCTTGAGGAAAGGTGTGACGGATGGCGTTGCGCTGTCTGGACAAGAGGAATGATACCTCAAGAAGACTTAAGTCATGGCACTAGGTAAGCGTTGGCGTGCGTTGGATAGAGGAACTTCTGTGGACGCGTGATACTGCTGGAAGTCTATTGAAAAGATCGTCTTCTACTGAAACAGCCGCCGCCAGCACAGTGTGCCGGGGTCCCACCTGATGCATTGACTATCGAGATGGGTTCCGGTAGTCGCGCGCGGGACATTCACTCAGCTTTAACGTGTCTTCAGTGCCGAAGCGATTGGGAACACCATCTCGTGATATCCTCCCGGTCTCTATTTGAGACTCACGATAAAGTCTAACCTCAGGGAGGGCAGTGTTTAGGAAACAGTGCTCGATGTTCGATTCGACGATACATACTTCAGGTGCCACGACGTGGCACCTGAAGTCGTGGCCCACGACAACATGCACCCGAAATTTTGCCAGCATTAGCCCCAAGTGTGGTATTAATACCACCCGTCATCTGCTGTCTGCGAACACACCAGCTTGGCGACGAAGAAGTTGGACTCGGATTAACTGGGTACTTCGCGTCTAACCAGAATGTGCTCTTAGGAAGAGTCTTGAGCTGCCCCGCTTGCTAGACATCAACAGCGTTGATTTAACGCTCTACGAGCGCAAATAGCCCTTAAGAAGGGCCCCTTAGGCTCGGTCTTATATCTGCCCACAATAGCGGGATGGGATGCCTGCAATTTTGAGAATCCGCAGGACTTCCAACCCGGTGTTATAGACAGGTGGCTCGTGTCGGCGGTGTGTGCTGCTGTGGAATATAGACGATTATGAGCGGGATTTGTGTATCCCAAGACCGTGCCACACAACGTCCCAGTGGGACGAGAAGGGGTGTCAACCCTACAGGTCATCCCAATATCCCGCGAACTAGATCGCTGATTGGTCCATCCCTCTTTTGGGACGATATAAGACTGAGCCTTAGCGCGTAAAAACAAAATGCTTGAACATTCCACGTACATTGATTTTTTGTGGCTTCGAGGTTTAGTCACAAGATTACGCTAACGGAACTAAACACAATTGACATTTCGCCATCTACTTGTAAGGAGACACCGTTCCAGTGTTAACCTCGCCCTGCTGCATCGCGCTGAAGTCAAAGCTGGTCTGCGAGCCTGCGCCCTTAGTGGCATCTCCACCTCCACTTCCAGCGACATCAAACGAACCACAGTCCGATTCGGCGCCACCAGCGACGTCATAGGAGCCACATTCCGAGTCGTCACCGCCGGCGACGTCGTAGGAGCCGCAATCCGAGTCAGAACCGGCGACATCATACGATCCACAGTCAGATTTATCCGTGGTAGGTGCAGTAGGCGTCGAAGGCGTCGATGGAGCGTCCGTTGAGGGCGTCGACGGAGCGTCAGTAGAGGGCGTCGATGGAGCGTCCGTTGAGGGCGTCGATGGTGCGTCCGTAGAGGGTGTCGACGGAGCGTCAGTAGGAGAAGGTGGTGCCGGGGCTGTAGTTTCTGACGGCGTAGAGGGGGCACTCGGTGCCTCGGTAGCCGGGGTGGACGGGGTGTCGCTAGTGGCACTAGATGTACTGTTCGACTGTGCCGTGGAGGTAGAACTGCCCACCGCGTACTTCGACTTAGCGCCAGTAGAGGTAGTTTTCTCGAGCGGAGCACAGTTGACATACACCTGCCAACTCTCCGAATGCATGGCCATCCAGTAGAACGTCAGTGTAGTCGCACCCATGCACGCTTCGCGATCAAAAGGCAGCACTGCAGGGACCATTGTATAGTGAGCGGGACAATTATCGTCCTGGAAGGTACGAACATTGCCACACCACACTTCGCATGGTCCTTCGTGCGACGGAGTGAAACCCTCTGAGGCCGAATGCGACCACTCTATAGTGGACTATGGGCATGGGGCTGCGGATCTTCACTTCGGGTCGCACGAGCCGCACGTGAGGGTGGCACCTGGTACGCCAATCTTGGCCTTGTCGGTGAAGAATTCCTTGAGAGAGGTGTACTTGCTCGCTTTAAAAGCCTTGGTGAAGGCAGCCACGTTGTCCTTTGGAGCGCCGTTAAAAGTGCCGCTGAAACCAGAATCAGAAGCCTGAATTGAAGCAATGTACTGCGTCGGATCACCTGCCTGCGCGGTGAATCTCACCTTTGGAATCGTCAAGTAGCCGTGACCATTAACGACGCTCACAGCCAGTGCCGAGACCAGCAAACACTTAAAAGGAGCCAGCATGATCTACAGTAGTACTGTAAACCAAAACGTTCAAGCTGCGAATCGTAGAATGGAGAATTGAGGAATGAGAGTGTCCAAGAGTATGATCGTAACCTCTTCGACGATGATGCACATTTTGCACTGCACAATGTGCAAGATTTGCTGTACCCGGTGCAATGTGCACTGCACATTGCACCGGAAACAGCAAATCTTGTTCTGTTCAAGGTGGACGAAGTTCGTCCGACGAACCCCCTTTACCCGATGCAGGCCTTTCCCCAAAAGACACAAATTGCTGCGACAAAGTGGTAAGATATATATGAATTTGTACTTCTGTGCCGTAGTCATTGGTCCTGCTTCACCTCTCAATCTAACGCTGCGAGACTCCGCAAAGCCAGAGATTTATTTGCGAGAAGAGCTACCGTGCCAGTCCTTTACATACATGTATTACACGCACCGACCAGATTATGCAGACCATCGTGATTACGAACGTGAGGACGCACTCGTCAACCATAATGTTGTCGGGCATTAATTGGATCAGCTTATAGGAGTTTTGAGCAAATATGCGCTGACCAAAACAAATATTCGAGTACAGTTTCTATGTCGAATGGAAGCAGAAGGTTGGTGTGTATCCGTGGCGTCGGTGAATTCTCTGTTAGTCGCGTCACAGTTGTATAGCCGCAACCAGTGAGAGAAAGCGGTAAGCAGGACCCACTGTACTACGGACCGTTTAATACAACAAACGTCTGAATCTTTATCAGCATAATATAATACAAAAGTAAGAGCTGACAAAGTAAACGACGTGTAACGATATGTGCACTAGGGGAATCGCGTCAGTTCAAGTTGCCCAGTCACTGTACTACACAGCTGGATTTTAGCAATATCCCGAGATCTGCTCTGGTTGGAGCCTTTACAAACTTGCAGATTAAAGCATCAGCAAAATTGCGATACGGCGTGTCGCCATTAACAGTATGGAGAGGAGAACCAGTGAATTGCACACTTAATTGTTGCGTTGGCACCTCAAATGCCTGTAAACACCCCAAGTTGCGTTTTGGCACATTCTCACCATGAAAAACACATTAAAATATATATTTTCGACAAAAAATACAGGGCAGCACCTCATAATATGGTACCGTAACACTGTGCGTGGACGGCCGCAGCTTGAGCAAGGGACCGCACATCCAGTACCGACAGCCAATCACGTCGAGGCGGCCCCCTCACACTCAAACTCGTCGACCGGAAGATGCCGAGGGTGCTGCCGTGGAGACAGCTCGGCGGTGAGCTTAGCGCCGATGAAGCAGACGCCTTGTTTTCGCAGCTCAAGTATGGCTTGTAGTGCGTGTGGTGGCTACTCAGAGCACAGCATGCGGTACAAGCTACTACAATGCGAGTCTTCTACTTGCAGCGAACTTACGTGCTCTTGGCGTGGGAAAGTTTTGGTCTGCCTTGACACTGAGCGATACTCTATCTACGAGCTAGGAGAGCACTTTACGTCTACCACGTCACCCAAGCGCTTGAAGCTGTCAATTAAGCAGAAGGAGTACTGCCGCGGGCTCGCGGAGGAAAGACTCCGTCCGTTGCGTATCCGGCATGCCATGGCCCGCAAATTTTCGCTTACTGCTGGAGATGTCCCACCGCTGGACAAGGTACAGAACTTCTGTAACTACTTTGCTCGCACAGAGCTGAACAATCATGACCGTCTTGATGACATCACGCAGTGGGTTCACCGTCGAGCGTTTGTGGGCAATGAGGGAGAGAATGAAACGTTTACCTTTGCGTGGCGCCTCGATGAGACTGGAAAACCGATTGTCGGCGACGGATCTGATGAAGATCCCTTTATTGTTGGATTGAGTACGAAAACTATGGTGAGACGACTTGATTTGCCGACTGACAGCTATATTCTACACTTAGATGCGACGTTTAAGTTGAATACTTCGGATTATCTTCTGATTGTGGTTGGGATCTCTGATCGTGGGCGCAGTTTTTACTTGGTTGCGGTTTTTATCGTCTCGCAGCGCCTCCAGTCGATTTATGAGGCCTGTTTGGCTTCGTTGTGCCGCATCTTTACGTGGCTAACACAGAAGCGATTTGTTCCTCGCTTTGTAATGGGAGACGCTGAAAAAGCGCAGCGTAATGCGGTTATGTCGGTATTCAGCCATGATCCCAACCTCCAGTATTTGATGTGTTTTTTTCACGTTATGACAAACGTGGAAAATAAGCTGAAGGGATTTTCCTCGCATGTAGCAGGGGCGTTAGTACGTGGACTATATGATCTGCACTTTGCGCGGGACCAACTCACGTTTTCTTGGATGCGGGACCAACTTTTGAGGAACTGGAGGTGTTACCCTGAACTATCCGAGTTCTGTACCTATCTAAACGATCAGTGGCTTACCGGTCACTTTACGCTTTGGCAGTGCTACTTGACGCCGAGTGCTTTTGCCACCACGAACAGCCCAGTGGAGCAATTTAATAGGGTGTTGAAGCGAGACTACACGTTAAGACGGCGGTTGAAAATGGGCATGCTTTTAAAAAAGCTCAACGATTACTGTAGCGATGAATCGAGTCGCATCAGAGTTTTCCGTACTCGAATCGAAGCTGCACCGACGTTGGCTTGCCGAGTAAACGAACTAGTTCGCGAGAAATTGCTCGAGCGAGGCCGATAGTGCAGTCGGAGATCCTGGCGTCATGCATGTGGTGGCTTACCAGGCCAAGCGAATTGTGGTGGAAGGAGCAAAACGTTCAACTGAGGAGCAGATCGCTGTATCTGCACAGATGGGGGTTAACTACGCCAGGATGGAGGTCGAGAGTGAACCTCCGTCAGGATGGCCTGTACAGCTTCGGTTGCAGTGGTGCCCGTGCAAATAGTGTTACAAGTTTGGGACCTGCGTACACTTGCTATTCGCCATGCGAGCGACTTATCGCCTTGATGGAGCTGGACGGCGGGTTCTAGTTAGTCGCCGCGCTACCGGAAAGCGCAGAGCTGATAGTCAGGGTGGCAGGCCTCCTAACATTGGCCCAGCACTCTTGTTGGAGTGAGTTCCACCTCCAGTACTTAGCGTTTGACCACAATATATGCCTATCTCCAGCAACTGCTACACGAACCTTTCCGCCCTAATATTTAGGATCAGACATTGCAGTAGGTGTCGCGGACGCTGTACCATTAGAGGAAATTTAGATTTGCAAAGAGGAAGCTCTAGCACTCGACACATTGTTCGCACATATTCTGCAGATACGTACGTGCGCTTCTGATGTACATGCAGAGGCTGTGAGGCCGAGACAGATGGAGAATATCAACTTCCGCGCGTGCAAGTGGTTCGTAGGGATAGTAGAACCTGTACGAGCTTGCGTTAGAATGCATGAAGTACTTGACTGAAGTGCTGGACTGTCAAATGTTTTTTTTAGTAAGAGCAAGCGTCATTTACAAAGTAATTAACCAAGCGTACACCTAACTCTCTACACTACCCTGTCCAGCACTCCTCGCATGCGCATCTAAACCAGACTTCATCGCCGTAGTTGACTGTAATTTGAGTTCCGGCCTTTACAGCCTTCCGCATAACAACCAAGACCTTCACTGAGCGTCTGTTGCGGACCTCCAGAAAGTCTGCGTTAGGTTCACAGGCGTGTGATAGGAATCGCATCATGGAGCCGCACTTTTTCGCTTCGACGTAGACGAACTTCTTCTTGGCAGACTTGGTGTAGTACAACATCGTGTACCCGGAGTTCGTCTTCTTCGCTACCTCTGGCTGTCCTTCCGTTTGCGCATCATGTTCACTCAATTGACCAACGTACTCACCAAGAATGTCTCCTACGTCAAGAAACGTTGTTGTGTAAACACCAATACCAACGCGCATATTATCGAATAGACGGAGAGTAGCTCGGTTTCTTGGGGAATTACTGCAGACACCACCCAGCGCGCAGCAGTCAGCAGTGCAGTAAATAGACGAACGTGCATTGTCACAGGAGTCTAAGAAGCAATCGCCCACGCATACACACGGGTCGAGCTTGCCGACGTCAGGGAAAGTGAGACCACCAGGAACTCTGCACTCATTAATCTCGTCGACGCCGTCCGGCCACTCTACCGCGTTGTCGGGCGGTGGTAGTACTGGACAAATAAGAGCTGGGGCGTCAAGGGAGAACGTCGGCCGTTGGAAATGTAGCGCTTTCAGTCGTTCTCGAACTGATGTCAGGCGTAGGAAATCTCGCAGCTTCTTTGCTTTTAACGATTTTGCATGGTAGATATTGGTGCCGGAACGAGTGATGGCACTCATTGCCATGTTTTTCTTCTTTCGTGATCGAGGCTGGTGCCAGCTTCTTTGCTTGGTGGCGAATTTTGTTTCGTCCCAGGCGCGTAGGAATATCATTCAAATGGTCTTTTGCGGCCAACACTTCTTCCTCTCTAGGTATAGGATCCGTGGCATGTTCTGATGTATCCTCACTTCCAGTAGTTTCTTCAGTACGTGCGGGACTTAATACAAGCGCAGTATTTACAACTCCGACGACCGCTGAAGTGCTGGGGCTCGTATTGTCCATTTCATCCAACTCAATGAGATCCGAATTTGATGCAGGCGCCACATTCTTCACTAAAACTTGACCTTTCGGGTTTTCCTCAATTGGAAGGCGTTGAGCAGAGCCGTAAGCAACAGTTGAAGGTGGTTGGGTCCTCGTAGAGCTCGTATTCGAAGAACTGGAGCGTGCTGTAACTTCTACTTCGCCGTCAGAATCATCAGGTTGCCGCGACTTCTTTTGCTCATTCTCTTGTTGGATACGTACAGATGCTGCCGCCCAACCATCGGCGACTGCCTGACGCAGCGCAGAATTGAATCTGCTGGACATCGTAGGCAAATTTACCTCGCCGTCCTTCATGATGTATGTACGCAGCTTACGCCACTTGCAGACCTTGAAGAGGACGCCAGATGCGTCGGAAATACGCCTCATTACTTGGCGTTCCGACAACATCTCGCCCGTGTCCACACGGATCGGGTATTCGGGGTCTTCATTCTGAGAGATCCTCAAAACCCGTGCGATGCATTGACCTCTGGGATCGCCACCCACGAACATCCACGAATGATACTCAGAAGTATCCCCTGGGTGAAGAGTTTCTTCTGGTAGCTCTCTCAGCGAGAGCCCTACCATGGCGCTGCCGGGAGTGCTGTACGGCGTCGCGCTAGCTTGTGTACTGGTGGAGTTTGTATGCCGCGGAGGAAGCTGGTGTGTGGTGCTCCAGTAAGCACCCTCAACCCACTACATTCAGACAACATTCGCTCACGAGTGAGCACCGTTGGACTTGCGGACCGTCTATCATCCTGAGCGCGAAGTGAGCGAGAGATATGCGCGCACGGGGGGGGAACGGCCTGCTAACCGTCCTGTCCATAACGTTTTGTGGGATTGTTTCGGGTGTTTTTCAGGTCTGTAAATGTAGATCTAAGGTTTTCTCTATGGAGAGTTCCCCTCCACCTCTAATTTATTTGTAGTAAAACGGGTACTGGCTATAAATGGGTAACCAAGATGATAGAA